ATTACATGCGAAATGAAAAAGATAGATACAAGTAAAGAGGTAGGGGTCAAAACAATCCATCTTTATCTATATTTACCATTTCTCATGGAATTATACAAAATTGGAAAAGTTAGTTTCTAATTGGTATGGTGACCAATGAATGGCCTATAATTTAGCCGAAGCTAACTCGGTAGCGGTCGGGCATTCATCCGCATAGGCCGTGTTATTTTTCGTAGCTGCCTTGATTTCTTCTAAACGTTCTCTGTAAGACATGGATTCCTCCAATAGCGCTGCACGCTAAACCTCTAACTCAATAATCTGGTGATCTATCTCTACCAACTGTTAAGGAAGTGAGGAAAAATGACTAGAATTTTTGGAGCAAGTTTGGATATATTGTTGCAAGTTGATAAGCTGTTCTCGTTGGTCACAGATGACGACAAGGCAGTTTTGATGCTTTTAATACAACGACCCTACTTCTTGAATGATGGATGGAAGTTCATCGGCTAAATGTGTTAACGCCTAGCGATCCTCTTTAACAATGAAAGGAAAGGCGGCTAGTGACCTGATTGAGTGAAGCCGCTCAACAAGAAAATTTGCTTCATCTACCAGAATAGCAAGGTGGCCAGTAATGATCAACAATGTTTTCTCGTGATAATCTTAAAAGTTAGGGTTCAAAATTAGCCATGGGTTCTAAAAAGAGATAGATCCAAAAAAAAGACGAGCTTTCAGATAAGCTAGTACAAAAGACAAGTCAGTTTCAGGTAGAGGAATAGCATCGAAGATGGAATAACAGCTTGAGTTGGGGCCGCGACTTGGGCAGCCTCAGTGGCCAGAAGAATACCATGGCCTGCTGGGAGGTCAAGGGATTCTTGCCTATAGGCAAGACTCTCTTCACCTTCAAGGTCGACATTCTCAACATCTTCGGCCACATCAGTGGTTATATTATGAAAAGAAAGTGTCGAAAAAATTAAGTCAGTTGCAGTCATAGATAGATACATTTGTTGGCTCAAGGGGGCTCAAGGCTTCCAAAAGTTACCTCTTGTGAGGGCTCTAGGCCAGCGGAGATGGACACGGACAAAGAAGTGTCGTCACACTGGAAAACGTGGAGCACAAGGGAATCATCTTCCTCAACATCCTATCCCTCGTCAACTTGAGCATGTGATGTGAATGTGGAAGGAGTTGTGAAAGAATGTCGCCGGTTGTCCTTACGGTGAGACCTTTGTGGAAAAGAAGGAATGGTCAAATAAGCCAAATCCGTGGAAGCTACGACGTCAAGTTCAATAGCCAGAAGTTGAACAGAGACAGAGGAGGAAGTCTTGACCAAGCCTGCCCTAGGAAATGATTGAACATGCCATGAGAAGTTTATATGGTTGATAGCATAGTTTTAAACCCAGCCCGGTGAAAGGACCAGGTCAATAGGTCGCTGGTTCAACTGTTGAGTTACTGGTCGAATCGGTAATATAATAAAAAATTAAAAAATAATTATAAATAATAATAAATAGGCTAAAAAATCACAATAATTATAAAAATAACATCAAACATGTAAAGTTAAGTAGAGAAAAAGCATCAAATATGTATTCAATTTTCAATACAAACTGTAAAGTTATGTAGAGAAAAATACATCTATTGAAGTTCAAGACTCCAAGTCTAAGTCTAACTCTTCGACAATGTATCAATCTAAACATAATCCATGTAATTTACACTCATCAAAGTTCAAACTTCATACTAAAACTATAGTAAGCAAAACACATGAAAACAAAATAAAGCACATAAGCATAACATAAAGACTCAAATAAACGAAACTGAAAATAAATTATCCAACCATTGAAAATAAATTATCCGGCCATTAATGACAACTACATAATCAAAATTAAACAGAAAAAATGAAATAGCACAAAACCGTACATGTAACCCACTTGAGTGGCCACTCTTCTGAGATGAAAGCAAACATCAAACAGTGGGGCTCATATTCAATATACACTGCCTCTAAAAGGAAAATAAGAATAATGGCTAGTTTAGTCCCATTCAGGCGGTCTCCGATAGGTAAACTATGTACAAAATACAAACACAAACATTCACACAGTGGCTACTTTCAAAAATGATAATGATTCAAGAGCTTAAGACCATTGGAATCGTGCTCATCAATGTTTCTATATGAGAACATAAAGATATTGTAAAATAGATCCGACACCTTGTATTTCTTGCATATGGCAACGATCTCTGGAAGTTTGCACAGTGCCCCTTCTATACTGTATATTCCCTCCACAACAACAATAATCTTCTTCCATGGTCTGTGTGTCCTCTCAAGTGGAGGCTGATCGCTGTTGGTGCTAGAGTGGAGGCTGTGGTCGCTGGTCTGGAACGATTTAGGGTAAAACAAAAGGGGAAAAAACAGAAAATGCCCAAAATATGAAAAAAATAAAAAAATCTCACATTTATACCAATGAAATCAAACCGGCTAGTTTGGTAAACTCGTCTGATTTTCACAAGTTTACCAGTTTTTGACCGGTTCAACGTGTTTATCCCAAGTTCTTTACATAAACGATTTTTTAATAAACCCGGCCCGGTTAGGGGACCGGTTCACTAAGTTGACCCACCGGACCGAACTGGGTTTTAAAACACTGGTCGATAGCGAAGGCTATGTCGTTGTCAAATTACAACCGCTTCCACCAAGCTTTGGCAACCTTCGAGACATCAAATGACTCGGTGAAAGAGTCATGCAGAAGGAACGACAAGCAAGAAAGTTACGGAGGCTAACTTCCCGAACATTAACATCGACCAAGTTAGGACGATTGGTAAGGTCAGTGTTGAGAGTGCAGACAAAAAATAAGAAATCTGTTGCACCAAACCAAACTGGTGAGTATCTAAAATAGAAAAAAGAGAAGGGTTGAGCTTATAGATGAAAAAGAAATTATACATATGTAAGCACAATGTTATATTTACAAATGAAATGGGTAATGTCATATTGATGGAGTTTTTAAATTTTTTTTGAACATTTTATTGAAAAAACTATAATATTGTATTGATATTTTTTAAGGATAATATAGGCAATCAAAAGGCTTTTCATAGATATTGAAATTCATATATGTAATAGATAATAGATATAGATTATAAAATTAAAGGATATGATGGAAGATAATTTTCAGATTTAAACACATTAAGGTATGGTGATAGTCTAAATGTTTTAAATATAGAAGAGCATAATGGCCTTCATAATTCTAAGTGCAAAATAGTCCATTAAAAGTTTCTATGTTAAGGTTTTTTTTATTAGTAGTGTAGATTATTTTTTTCGCTAAATAGTAGTATAGATGTTATTGTCACTTAGATTGATAACTACTATTTAGGGTCAAATAATTCCTCTTTGAGTCATTTTACTTTCATTTATGATCGTGTTATTAACATTATTGGTGAAATTTTGAATGTTTGGGATGAAGTTACTATCATTTAAGGTAAAATTGTCGCTATTTGAGGTTAAGTTGCGACAATTTGGAGTGCATTAATATCATTCCAAGATACTGTCATTTGGGAGTCAAGTTAACTCAATTCGATGGGAAGTTACGGCAGTCAAACTACTACTATGTGAGGTCGAGTTCATACCATTTGAGGTTATGTTATATAACTATTTGAGGCCAAATTTATACCATTTTGGGTCAAGTGTTTACCTTTCAGTGTTATGCCATAATCACTTAGAGGTGAAATACAACTATTTGGGTATGCTTATGGCAACTTCACCTTGTTTGGGGGTAATTTACCATCATTTGGGGTGATAATACAACAATTTGGGTGTCTTTGATATTGTTTGGGGCAGAGTTTACTACAAGTTTGGATGAGCTTACGTCCATTTTTGGGTGATCATGCAAACATTTGGAGCTAATTTATCAACAATTAGGATGATGGTAACACCATTTTGGGGCAATGATATAACCATTTTGGGGGAATGTATCACCATTTGAGTCAAATTTACCTCACTTAAGAGAATTTATTACTATTTGAGGATGATAATATAACCTTTGGAGTAAATTTATTATTATAATTTAGGATAATAATACCAAATTTTGGGATGGTAAAACCAATTAAATAGTTATGAGTTACCAAGTTCACAAAGTTGGTAGTGACAAAGTGATGATCAATAGTTAATCTTATGAAATCAATTGTTAAATTTAATTTCGGAACGGTACTAAAATATTCTATCTCGGTACTGTAGTCAGGTCCCAAAAGGTTTATAAAAGAAATAAACTTTAGAGCTTTTGGGATGGAAAATGTAATTTGACCTTTTCTTTTAATCATTTTGCGAGAATCAGCAGTAGCTCCATTTATTCCAAGAAAAGGCAGTCCAAAAGTATACAAAGCATGCCCAACCGTCCATGGTAAGCAAAAACCTGCAAATCCAATCTCGTTTTAACACTCTACTTAAAGTTACAACAAAATAAAAAAAAAATTAAAAAAAAAAAGAAAAAAGATAACTGTAAATAAGCTGGAATTAGATACAATTATAACAACATAAAATTATTTGTTATCAATCACAATATTGAGTTTGATCACATTTTCTTTTTTGAGTTGAAACTTTGACCCTAAGTAGTCGTAATTCATATTTTGTCATAACTTAAATTTGTAATTAATCTTTATTTACATGCAAATTTCAATACGGTATCTTAAGTTATCCAAACAGTGACAAGTGGCAAAACTTGATTCACTACATCTAACCGAGGCTTATTGTTGGACAATTTAAATCTAATTCTTCAAACCCAAGTTGACCCTCCAACACACAATCTACCAAAAAATAACCAGAAAACCCCACAAAATGGGGTAGAAAAAGAAAAAAAACAAAAGAACAAAATGCCCAGGGAAGATAGGGGTTGAACAGGGGGGGCAAAAAAAAATTTGGGTAAAAGAATAAGCCTCTCATTACACATTGTATTACACTAATGCTAGATACTAACTTTTTGTTTTAAAAAAATAATCGAGTTTCTCTTCTCCTACAGCCCAAGAATTGGAATCCTTCACACATACAACATGCTCCTTCAGATGACTCTGCGGAATCAAAAGCAAGTAAAATTAAGGATAAAAATCGGCCAGGTACATAAAGCATACTAGTATTACCATCAATTCATACCTCATCCGATCAACCACAGCTGAGTGATCTGGCTTTACTCCTTCAACCAGAAGAATTTCTTCACTAACCAACTTGCTTTTGATTGCTTTTCAAAATTTTCACTTAGTTAACAGTTATAATAAGGTATATCAAGATGTGCTCAGAGCATACCCACTTAGATAACGTAGGCTAGGGTTTAAGTCAACATAAAAATAATTTCGACTTTGTATGGCTCTCTGCTCATCACTGTTTCACTGAACTCTTTTTTTTTTTTTGGGGGGGGGGGGGGGAATTTGGTGCAAGCTTTCAATCTAAGGTTAATTCTTAGAACTGAATAAGGCATAGAAGAGTGGTTTTGTTCTGTGTGAGGCCTTTTCCCTTTTTATTTAAATCCATTTGTGTTGGGGTGGAGGTTTGGGGATTACTTCTTTCTTTTCTTTTCTTTTTGGTGTTTGGGGGGGTTTTTTTGTGAGGAGGGGGTGGATGGGGTTGTGATTTACACAATCACGGGGTGAAAACACTGAAATTTGCCCAAAAGGAAAAAAATTGCAGACTTAATTCCACCAACTTATTGGCTGATTTTGGTACCAAATGCAATAAAATTTACACTGACATCATCAGAGAGAGACCATCGCCCCGTCAAGGGGTTGTATGTGAACCCAGCCATCTCTTCAACCTGGACAAAGCCAATCACAGTGCAAATGATCATAATTAATTGAAAGAAAAAAGAATTTGCTGTATTGAACTGATGCATATGTTTTCGTAAACTAAGCACACCGAATTAAAATCAGTAGAATCGTCAAAAGATGTGTATTTCACTTACAGAGATAGAAGCACGCTGTAGGATCAGGACTAGCTCTTCAGGGGTAAGAAAGCTTGACCACTGATGAGTACCTTTTGGGAGCTGTAGAGCACAAATTATTAAGCATATGAAGCTCGAAATCACAAGACAAGATCACCTAAAAGACATCTAAAATATTATGGATTTCAGGGGCTGTTTGGCAAACATTTTTATCCTTTGTTTTGTGTTTTTGTTTTCAATTTGTCAAAAAAGAAAACAAAAATATGTTTGGTAACTGTTTTTAGTTTTGTTTTATTTTTATTGTATTGAGACAAAGACAAAAGAAAAAAAATTGTGTTTCAGAGAACACGCAAAACACAAAACACGCGCTTCTTGATTAAATGAGATCTCAACTTCGAATCTTGTTAGGCACAAAAGACTCATTCATTTCTCGAAGTATAAATAGGGGGTCTTTTTTCTCTCTTCTCCTCCACACAGATCGACTCTCTCTCTTCTCTGTTTATCTGTGAAACCCGGAAATGAAGACACAAATCTACGCATATATGCACTGCGCATATTTATGCACAAATATGTGCATATTTACAAAGATTTGTGCGTGTGTGTGTGAGTGACGGGTCTGTGTGTGTGTGTGTGTGTGTGTGTGAGAGTGAGTGACGACCCTCGTCATTGCTGGCCGAAATTCACTCTTCGAAGCTCTTTTCGACGACAATTGGGACCTCCAATTTGATAACACAACAAAACACTTCATTGATCGAAACCCAGATTGCTTTGCAATTGGGGTTGGGTGTCCTACACTGAAGTGAATGGATTTTTCTTCTTCTAAGATCATAGATAATGAAACTATTGTTCATGCTAGTAGACTAGGAGATAAGGCTTTCTTGTAATTTCAAATTTGGCTTTCCTTTGTTTGATGTATTTATTTGATTTTAAGGGTGCACTGGAAAAAAAAAAAAAAACTAATGAGTAGATTGAAAGAGTTTGATGATCTTTGATGGATTAATACTATTAATGTGAGTAGTGATTCATGTAATCTAATTATTTTTATTTAGGTGTTCTTTGATGAATTAGTGGATGTTTTGGTTTAAGGAATTTTTGGATTTGTATTTTGTTGTATGATATATTATAAAGCATATTTAGGATAAAACGTGAAGTAGTTACCAAATATGTTTTTTGTTTTTTATTCTCATAATTTGATAGACAAAAATGACACTCAAACATATTTTTTGTTTCAGTGTTTATCACAAAACAGAGACAAAAATTGTCTCTGTTTTTTATTATTTTGAAGACACGAAAACGAAAACGTTACCAAACGACCCCTCAGATTCAATAATGTAAACGGGTTTCTATTCTAGGATATTTCCCTACGTTACATGATCTGATCACAGCCTTTTAGGTATGTTTTTTGGTGTTCATGACAGTTATCCAAACAACTAGATAAGATTCCTAGGAGGTTTAGAAAAATAAGCCTAATCACAATACATGTATAATAAACTCCAAATCATTTAGAACCGTCCTGTTGCATCAGTTCTTTCTACAAAATCAAGACCACTGCTCCAGTACTTTCTTTTTGTTTCAAGTCATAAATTCTCCAGATTGTCAGTATTTTAGGTAGTGTGTGTAACATATGAAAGGAACAATAATTCGAGTGTCCCTTTGACATACTCAAAATGAAAGGGGTGACCATATAGAGTGAAGAATAGCTGTTTTAATATAGAAGATCATACCATTGATCAATGATTTAAGACCATAAATACTTGTTAGATGATGATTGACATTCATGAACACAAGTCAAATGTTCTGGCTAAGCCTTAGCTCACATCAAAAGAGATGAGTGAACTATAAGTGGCAACGAAAAGGGTTGTCTTTGGCATATATATGAATGAGAAATTTTGTTGCATTTTTTTGTTTGATTGGAAACACAATTTTATTAAAAAATAAAGGATGTAGTACAAAATGAACTCGAGGATGTACAAGTCATCTCCTCCAAAATGCAATCCATCAAAAAGCACTACCTAAGAACAAAAACAAAAAAAAGTAAGATTAATCTGTCACAAGCCGCCATACAATTGGCCAAAATTCGGAAAAGAGGAATATTTGCGATAGTACTTGGAGCCACCCAAGAGAATGCCCCGCCAACACAAACAATTTGTTTCATAAAACCAACACTATTGGATCATGCAAAAATAAATGGGTCACATTCTCACAATCATTCTTGCATATTACACACCATTGGGGCTTAGAGGCATGGTTGAGGTCGTCTTTTTTGAAGCATGTGATTGGTTTTGATCTTCCCATGATAACCCATGGACAAACTTGCTTTCAAAGGCACTTTAGTCTTCCATTTTTTCAAAGATGAATAAAAAATTACAAGAGTAATGTTATCAATCAAGGAATCAAAATAGGATTTGCAACCGAACAATCCAAGTTGAATCAATGATCCAACTTCTTCTATCAATCGACTCTTGATGTAGTTGAAATATAAAGTAGAGAGTAGGGTTCAAGAAAGAGAATAGAAGAAAGAAAGAAGAGCGATTGGAAGAAATAAAGTTTGTATGAGCTAATGTTGCTCTACACCTTATTTATAGTTTATGAGTAAATTAAAATATTACCCAACAACACTAACAATAACTAAGAACTCTAACAGATGTAAAGTTGCATTACCTAGCAAAGAAAGAAGTGAAACCAATTCCAATGCTTCCCCATCATTAAGACTCCTACGAAAATCAAAATCCCATAACACCGGGTTAGAATAGGACCTAATCATTGAAACAATGCGGACATGATGGTAACATGAAATGCCACAAACCTAAGGATATGAACAAGCTAAGGATGGCTCCCCAACCCAAAAGTCCTCCCAAAATCTCACTTTCTCTATTGCCTATAAGAAATTTAACTCTTTCAGAAAAGGAAGGTAATCCTTAAGAAATGAATTTTCATGGGTTTCAAAACTACCCCCTTCAAGCCCATTAGCATCACATTCACTAGCCTATAACCTATACTTACTTCTAATGGCACAAGCAATTTTACTCTAGCGGAAACCTCCAAAGTAATTTACCAACAACAGCTATATTTCTAGCCTTCCGATTACCCACACAAGAAGCCCACCATCTAACTCTAGGCCTGGACACAACATCCCAACGACTCAATTGATTTTTTGCTACACTCACCACCACCTTTCCATAAAAAGCCCCTTATCCTCTCGATCTTTCTCGCCTCCAACACAAGTATTTTAAAGAGAGACGAGAAATAGAAAGGGATGCTTGCCAAAACTGACTAAACTAACCCTCTTAACAATTTTTCCTATCAATAAGCTCCATTTTAGATTCCTGCAAGACAACTATTCGCACTCTCCATTCACATCCCCAACTCAGCAACAGACACAAAATTACCCACCCCTAAGAATATCCGATCTTTATCAAAATCTAGGAGACACTTATCCTCACCCCTCACAGCCTCACCCATCCCAGGCAACCCTTCAACATAAACCAAAGAAGCATGAGACACCCCACTGAAATATACACCGTTGAAGACACAGAAAACTTATCACACCCATCCGAAGTGCAAAATTAGGTACCAATTTGAGAGCATTACTAACCTCATAATTTCCATTAGAATTTGAAACTTCCACTTTTTTGACATCGCATTTTTATTTAGATCACCCTCACATTTTTGTACTTGATTCTGAAATAGCATTCTCATATGACAACAAAAATCTGCCAAACCCGGCTCTACCCCACAATCACTTCAATCAGAACCTCCAACTAACTATCATTAGTACCGCTACTCCCATAAGGACTCCAACTTCATTTATGTCAAGACAATCCTTCTCTCATTCCCACCATCATGAATCGTTGATCCCCATCATCAAAGCAAACAACCTCAAGATTCAAGTCATCACAACGTGCTTCCACTCCAGCATGCAAGCCATTTACTAGGAAGCATAAATTTCATTTTGGCTAGAGTGTCAATTCGGATATTTCCACCAACACACTTTGGAAACCCTCAAACATGCTAAAATGATTGTTCTTTTTTTTATCATATTTTCTTCGGACACATTGGGGACATAACCGACACACTGGTGACATGTTGGGTAGGGGGGACAATCGTGTCGGGTTGGGTCGTGGTCGTGTTGTGGTCGTGTTGTGCCATTTCGAGTTTGTATTGAACACTAATCAACCTTAACCCAACACATTTAACTCATCGTATTGACATATTTATTTTCATGTCGTGTTTATATTGACCCATATAACACGTGAATAAAAAATTTAACGCTCAGTTTTATTTCTAAAATTTCATTATCACCTAATCGAACTTATGCTCATACTTTTTCTATAAATTAAAAATTAACTTAATAAATATAATAACAAAAATGCAAAAAAGTATTTTTTATACAAGAATTAGATCACTACTTACTAAAATATAATAAAAAATTAACATTTTATTCCTATAATAAGACTTAAATATGTCAATTGTGACAATTTTGTGTTGTTTATATTTGACTCTAACCCAGCCCATTTATTATTCGTTTTAATGGGTCGTGTATATACGAGTTCGTGTCAAAAAATGGTCAATCCTAACCCGCTAATTTTATATCGATTTCGAATAGTGTTTTTTGTTGTGTCAGAAATTGCCACCCGTAACTAAGGGCATCAATCATGTCGTGTCGTATCATTTTCGTGTCATGTCACTTTCAATCGTGTTATTTTCATGTCGGATCACTTTTGGTACGTATCGGGTTCGTGTCAATATTCGTGTTAATAAAAAATTATTTAATTTGACAACAACTAATATAATACTAAAAAAATTATAAATTTCTTATTTTATATCTACAATACTCGTTAAATAATTATTTTTTATCTACAGTACTCGTTAATCGTGTTATTCGTGTTGAACCTTAATTTGACCAATTTATTACTCTTGTCAACTAATCGTGTTATTTTTTGGATTTGTGTCGAGTTCGGTTCGAGTCAGATTCGTGTTAACAGAAAAAATTGACACCCCTACCCATAACGTTGGGAAACACGTTTTTAGTTTTTTTTCCTTCTTTAAATTTTTAGAAGCTTGTCAAGAAACTTCATAAAAAAGGAAGTTAGTTATGTAATTTCAAAGACAAATGGGCCAAAGCTATAGTATAAAGAGAGTTACAATAACTAGATGGACAAAAGACACCAATATAAACTAAATTTTTTACACGATTACTAAATTATATACAAAATGGGCTACAACTTTTATATGAAACTAATTTGATGGGAAATAAGGTTATGGAATTGGAGCCCTTTAAAATTAAATGAAAATTAAGGTTATGAAGTTGAACATTTTTTAAAACTTAAATTGTAGTAATCATTAATTGTTGGATGATGGATGTTTATAATGAGTACATCGGTTCAACATTTGATCTGGTAGAATTAGAATTAAGAAAAGGATGAAGTGAATGATTATATAATTTCATATTCTAAGGTGTTTGTGTCCTACTTTATTGAAAAACTTTAGGTCTGTGTCATGTCGTATCCTTATCCTGTGTCTATGTTCATGTTCGTGTCCATGTCCTACAATATTGAAAAATTTCGTGTTGGCATGCTCGTGTTGTGTCGTATCCATGGCCAATATCCGTGTCCATTCTTCTTAGGCCATCTCTATTGCACTGACTTCACTAGTAGAGCCATTGTTGGACCAAGGGAGCACAAGCCCACCTTGAATAATTTTAGAAAAATTATTACCTACGTATATTTGAAATAATTTTTCGTATATTTTATGGTGCCCACCCTATCAATTTCTTGTCTTACTAAGTAGTATAAACGCAAACATAATTAACTATGAATTTTTGACACACTTTACAGACATGGTCAAACAAGTTTTGACGTATCAAATTTATTTTTCAAGTTACGAAAACTGTGAGAACTAAGTTGCATAATCAAAAGAGTGATTTGATTATTTATATACCAAAAGGTATTCTCCATAGAATTGATCATAAAGTTACCTTAAATGCATTTAAAGTATAAAAATTCATCAAAATTAATTGTAAATAATTGCAATTAGTCTCTTTTTATTTATTTTTTCTTTTTATACATTATGTATATCATCGTTGAACCATTTTATATCTAATGAATGTTTAAGTATTAAATATAATATAATAAGTTTAAATGCAATATATGTCACTTTTATTGAGTGGAAGAAAAAAAAACTCAAAGTTACAATTAAAGTGCCCACTCTGAACAAAATTTCTGGCACTATCCCTGACAAACTTAACCAATTGTCCTTTCTTTTCAAAATATCTTTCTTGTATTATTTTTTGGTTTTCTCAAAGCATCTTCGTTCACAAGTCCTAGCTTTAACTAGAATCGTCGTCAACTTCTTTCTCTCATTCACACTTCAATTTATCCTAATAGTAGGTGAAGACACTGCCCATTTGTATAGCAAACCCAATGAAATGGGTTTGGGAATGGGAAGCTCCAAATGTCTTAAAAAAATATTTTGGATTTGGGTTAAAAGACTCACATCTTAGCCCTTTATCCTTAATACTCTTATCTGGACCAGGGCCATTTAAATCAATTAATAAAAAAATGAGTGCCGAAGACTAATATTAAAGCGCAAATAGCCTAAAAGTAGAAAGAAAAAAATACGAGATTTTTTTATTAAGGAAAAAGACTAGACTCCTATTGCACCAATGTTGTAGAATTGCCAGCACTAATGGCTGCCTTTCAAAAGCTAATAGGAGTGACTTCATAATTATGACACTTAAAAGACAACATATTTTATTTTAGACCACTGCAGTAAAATAGAATGAGATATGAAGTATTCAGCTTCATAAGTGACGGACAAGAAATACAAAATACTATAGTGGAATCATTGGGTTTTAAAGGGATGTCATAACTCTCATTAAGGACACTAGTGTTTAATTTATAGGAACTAGATTCATCTATGATCGACGCAACAAATATGTAGACCCAGTAACCACATAAAACAAAACATCAACTACATAACAGAAACCCAAAGATTGATAGTGTGAAGATAAAAGTTGCCTTCAAGCGGAATGGACATCCCTCATGACAAAACATGTTGGACGCAAAACACTACCCAGAAGAGGGGGTAAATAGGTTAATTAAAATTATGCTTGAACAAACACCAAATTTTAACCTATATCCACTATAATTAGAGAGGTAAAAATTAGCAATTAAGAGTGACAAATTTGTGAACAACCGCTCGAGCAGTGGGAGAACGGTAGAAGGATGATGGTTGTTGGAATGAAAACAGAATTCAAACCGTAGCAGTAAAGCAGGGCCTGCTCGAGCGACGTCATGACCACTCGAGCTATCTCAAAACCACTCAAGCTGCTTGAGAGCGACCTCGACGTCAGCCTCCATTGCCCACTCGTTCAGTCTTTCTCGATTTTATCTCTGAGTGTTCAGAGACTACTCTAGCAAAAACCACTCGAGCTGCTTGAGAGCGACCTCGAGATCAGCCTCCATTGCCCACTCGTTCAATCTTTCTCGATTTTATCTCTAAGTGTTCAGAGACTACTCTAGCGACGGATAGCAATCATAGGACGGTCTCTACTAGTTTTTAAGCTAGAAACCAAGTAAAAACTTATCCCCTTGAGCTTCACCCTAAAGTGAAATTCGATTAATGGCTCAAATCTATATTTTCAAAACTCAATAAAGGTTTAGAAAAAAAAAATTTCAAAGAACATATAGGAATTACTAACGGATAAATCACATATTTCCTTTTAACTTAACCAACCTAGGTCTAAAGTCAAATCAAGGGTGCTAAGGTCACGGTTCGAAGTATCAGCCGATTCGTATCCACCTTGACCAACACAGATAAGATATCGCGATACGATACGAAAAAATTCTAAGTCTCTTTTGAATCAGTTTCAACTTCGTAAAACTCAGTCGAATCACCGATTCAAACCAAGTCGCTCAACCAACACCAGCTGACCCGAGAATAGCCGAAAAAAAAAAAAGGAAAAGGAGATAACAGAAAATGAGAGAAGAGAACATGCCAAAAAATAGGAATTCAGATGACCCACAAGAAATAAACAGATTTGGTATTTACAAAATTGAAGCAAGACATACAACATACCCTGTCAAAAATTGCAATCTTGAGTCTATAGAAACTAAAAAAAAAACTCTTCTTCTTCTTCTTCTTCTTCTTCTTCTTCTTCTTGGCAGCAGAAAGTATAAACCCTAAACCCTAGCATCGTCTCGTTGAAGTTCGAACTCCCACCTAGGTCATCTACAACGAGCAGCGAAGCTACATCACCATCTTGATCTCGCGCTCTTGTTGACCAACAAGTCTCACAGTCTATCTCCCTCGTGTCTCTGTCGACTAAAGCATAAGTCTCGAGTAGAAACTCTATTTAACTTTTTCTTTTTTATTGTTTTTCCTTTTCTTTTTTTTTTTCCAAAGGACCCAACTCGCTTTCTCTCTTTATTTCCTTTTTTAAGAATTAACATTTAATTTAACTTTCAAAAATTATAAATTAAATATTTAAATTGAACACTGGTAATGATAATTATTTTTGATAATGTCCTCATATTTCATTTTAATTATGTTTAATGTGTTTTTGAATATATTGTATATATATGATACATGAATGATGTTGTCTATATTTTTTTAGAATTTTTTATGATTTTTCCAAGTTTTTTTGGAGCTTCTATCTAGTGGTTTGAGTGTATCGACCAATACCGGTCGCAATGTCGTGACCAATGTGTACCAGTACCCTCCAAGTTGATAGCTGATGTCGTGACTTTGAACCATCGCTAAGGTATCTAAGGTTATTACCTTTGTCCTAACCAAGAAGGTGCATACGGAGGGTCACTTGATATTGCTTGAAGCATGATCTCCTTCCTTCCATTGACGCTTTTGAAACTTCAATATTGTAGCATCATGACCATAGAATAGGTTGAGTTTTACAAAAAAAACTTCACAAAATTAGTCAATTACAAACATGACCATAACAGGTAGCATGCATGTCAAAATGTTTTATCACACCCCAGTGTGTAGATTTTAGACATGTCTGATAATCTCTCCTAGTTTAATTTTTGTCGTTTTTGTCATATTCAAGTAAATATTCTTGCCAATTTGTAACACTTGATGGTCTTGCATATCTTACTTTGTTACAGATGCTTCATTATAACTAACCCACTTTCCATAGTGTACAAATGTGCTAAAAAATGTGATACACAATGTGGCAAATTGGGGTCACTATAGTAAAAGTTTTCATATCACCAAATCAATAAATATAAATGATTACATTGCAACGTGACATAGAAGGTGTGATGGAAATCTGATTATCTTTCGTTGCAATGGGTGTATGCATAGATTTTGATGGGATTTTGTATACTTTATCTCAAGATATTCACTTGAAGGTATGATTGATATATAATTGCATAGAGATTAAGATTATTGAATAATTTAAATCTATTTCCTTTTCAAAATAGTTCTTCTCTTGTAATCTCTATTTTTCCCATTTCCCTTTCTCCTCCAATTTTTATTTAGTAAATGGGAGGAAAAACAAAAAGAAAGAGAAAACCAACCGCCCACATGCTTGTGGGTTTTATTAATTTATCCATTTATTCTGGGAAGGGAAGGGGATGGAGCATGTTCTCTACCATAGAAGATGAGAACATAGCAAAACCATCCAACGCACCAACCCACAGCTTGTAATGCAAGAGCACATTTTGAAGGCTGCTTTAAAATAGACACAACAAATTCACAGCAACAGGATGAACCGGAAAAACATACCCAATGGAGTATATGCTCTGCTGCAACGATGGCAGTTGCATATGATCGCATAGACCGATTAATTGTTGAGATCATAGTAGCTCCATCAGAAACAGTTAACGCTGCCAAGGATTTGCAGAATTTAGCAGGATCTGCTACATGTTCAATCACCTACTTGAAATACAAAGGGATGAATACTGACATGATTACCGATATCTAACAAGAGCATGGGAAGCAAATATAGAATGAAAATTGGAAACATACGAGAATATTCAATATACAGCAAACAAGATGCTCTCTCTAATCATCACGAATAAATCCACTCCTTTAATTTTATAAACAGTTTCTTAAACAAGCTGCTCGCTCGGAAGTTAACAGTGTATTAACATTGCTTAATTCAGGAAAGTAACTTCATTTGAACTTTGAAATGTCTGGTATGTCCAAGGATTTTGGATTTGAACCAGGAAAGCATTTTGGGCAATGTGAATTAGCATCCAATCAGAGACAAACAAGTGAGATTGAAAAGTTGTCCTCGAACCATTATTGAGCCAAATAAGAATCATTTTGAATACACAAACATGCATATACTGTGCAATTCAAAAATAGAAAAATCGAGGCATAATTAACATGAAAGCAGAACAAGTGTTCAGATCGATCCTCAATGACAAGTGGAACAATTATGAAGTTCATGTTCACCTGAGTTTCTACTAAGCTCCCATTAATTATTAGCATACTGACCACTTGTTGACATAAGAAGCATATGTTTTCTCTAGTTTGGACAGTTTCAATTGCTTCCACTTTTCTTTAAACAATAAGTAACACAGTGCTTATCACGAAACCTTGCTGTAGAATTATTTGGTAGTCATGATCTCTCATAATGTTTCATTACATGCTTTATACATGTCTAATTTATTTGGACTTGAGAATTGAATGTATCTTTTATAAAAATCCCCCAACCAATATAGATCCGCATTTTAAACATATAACTGCACTTGTTAAACCTTGGTGATTCATAAACGGCACACACGCACACCAACCCCCCTGCAAAAAAAAGATACTATAACCAACCATGGCACTATTTGTTATGTATGATATATGAAGATGTATTTCTAGCTTAAGGATATTTTTGGTACTTTGTGGTTATGTATAAATTGGGATGTAGCTGTGTAACCTTAACACGCGACTCTCTTCTCTTAATCTCTTCCCTCCTCTTCTTATTCGTCTCTTCTCCTCCCTACTCTTAATTACTTTACAATCAAACTTGGTATTAGAGCAACAATCCAAATTTAAAGTCTCAAATCTGTCCAAAATCATCAAAAATTATCAGATCTAAACATAGTGGTTGACATCATCTTCTAACATGTCGACTGCTGTATGAACAGTGTCATAAATTTTCAATTTTCTCATGGATTGATCAATTGGATGCCCCGAGTTTTATGATGACTTTCTTGGAATTTTTCGAAATCATCTCAAGGATTTTTCAAATTTTTGAAGATTTTTTTGTTTTTTCAAGTTTGACCTCATATCTAACTGTTATGAGTAATCTGAGGCTTGTTTTTGGATCAAATCTGCTTGGTAAGGCTCGACTATGGGAGATATTACTCTGTCGATAGCCAAATTTGGCCATTGTTAGCCTTTTTTTGCTCCGACAGCCATTGTTGGCCCCTCTCTTGCACAGTAGGATCACTTTTAGGGTATACCCATTTCACAGAAGCTCCTTGGCGATTGTTGAGGCATTATTCTGGTTACAGACCAATTTTTCAATGGTGTTTTCTCACAATTGCTTAGGTTTTGTGTTGATCCCATTGTTTGGACAAAGTCGGAAGGGAGTGCAACCTCTACTACTAAGGAAATGGGTTGAGCCGTCTAGGTGCACTCACAAATAACCCCTCTCTTCAAATTAGTCTAGAGAAATTGGATGAACACAATTATTTGGAGTGGTCACGAACTTGTTTGTAATCGGTCCAAGCCATGTCTTAGGATGGATTTTTGACCGAGGAGACTAAGAAAGCCATTGAGTCCACTGAAATGGTGGACTTCTGAAAAAGCTCAGTGATGTCGTTATTGCTTAATTCAATGAAACCCTCTATCAGTCTTGATTTTTTGTTGCTTGATATAGCATATAAAATTTGGACAGTTGGAACACACAATTATTCTCAGAAAGGTAATGAAGCTAAGGCATATGAACTTTAAAAGAAAGTTCTGGAGACTAACCAAAAAGATAAAACCCTTGCAATATACTATGCAGAGTTGACTACTGTTAGAGTTTCCATGCAGATTGATGCTACAAAATTTCAACACAAGGTAGAGAAGAAACGTGTATGACTTTCTTCCTGGCCTTAACATTGAGTATGATCAAATTCGGGTTCAAATTTTGGGTCGTACCACTTGTGTGAGTACTCCAAAACAAAATGGTGTAGTTGAGCAAAAAAACCGGCATCTTCTTGAGGTTGCTCGACCATTGATGTTTACTATGAATGTTCCTCAACATTTTTAGGAGAGATGTAGTTTTTACTACTTCTTATCTTAATAATTGTTTACCTTCAAGTGTTCTTCAATTTAAGTCACCTATAGATGGTCTTTCCAAGATTTTTTTAGTTCCTTTTGTTTCTTCCCTTCTTCCTATAAATACTGTGGTGTGTTTGTTATGTACATGACTACAGATCATCCAGAGGGGGAACTTGGTCCTAATACTTTGCAGTGTGTTTTTGTTGATTATTCTCCCAATCAAAGAGAGTATAAATGCTACCATCCACAGTATCAAAAGATGCATATTAGCATTGATGTCATTTTTAGTGAGTTTAAGTCCTTTTTTTCGTCCTCAACCGTCTCTTCAGGAGGAGAATACCATTATTAAAAAAGATATGTTATGTTAAGAACCCCTTCTTCAATTGCCTTTCCAATGGGTCACTAATAAAGGGAGCAATAGATTGTTGGTACCAATGATCTACCTGGTACTCTAGAGACTTTTTCTCGAAGTCGGAAGGTCCACACCACCCATGTGCAACTGAGTCGGTTAAATTTCCCCACTCCAGTTCTAGAATCTCCCACTGATTTACCAAGTAATGATCTTTAAGTTGTCACTCCTGTTATTGATAATTCTGAGCTTCCTATTGCAGTTAGAAAGGGTGTTCAAACTTGTACTCAAAGCCTTATCTCTAACTTTATCTCTTATGATTCCTTATCTCTATTCTATCATACTTTTATTTTTTGTTTGTCTTCTATATCTATCTATCAGGTTTGGAAGGAAGCTCTCATTGATCCAAAAAGGAGAAAAGCTATGGTAGAAGAAATGAAAACCCAGAAAGTCAATGACACATGGGAAATAGTTACATTACCAGTTAGAGCAATGGCAATTTGATGCAAATTGGTATTCATTGTCAAATAACAAGCTGATAGGACAATTGAAAGATACAAAGCAAGACTGATTGTTAAGGAATTCACTCAGATGTATGGCATTGATTACCAAGAGACCTTTGCTACTATGGCAAAGATGAACTCCATACGTATTCTTCTCTCTTGTGCAGCTAATTTGGAGTGAAGTCTGTAGTAGTTGGATGTGAAAAATGTCTTTCTCTATAGAGACTTTGACGAGGAGGTATATATGGAATTTCATTTTTTTTATCTCAGCTAACTGGAGGGAAAGTGTGTAAGTTGAAGAAGTCACTTATAGGTCGAAGCAATCACCTAAAGCTTGGTTTGACAGGTTTCTCAAAGACATGTTGAAATTTAGATATAAACAGAGTCATGTAAATCATATTATATTCATTAGATACATAGATGACAAGATATCATCATATATGTGGATGATATAGTGATAATTGGGAATGGTGTATATGAAGTCACCAAACTTATCAATTCATGCATGATCCTCGAACACCTTATCTTGAAACTGTTTATTGTATTTTGAATTATCTTAAGTCAACTCCAAGGAAAAGGATGTTCTTTAATAATGGTCACTTGAAACTCGAAGCATTCACTGATGCAAAGTTGGCAGGTTCAGTGAATGACAGAAGTCCGACTTCGTGCTATTGCACCTTGATAGGAGGAAACATTATCACATGGCGAAGTAAGAAGCAAGCAATAGTAGCAAGGCCCAATGCAGAGGTTGAATACGGAGCAATGGTACATAGAGTTTGTAAACTTATATGGCTCTAAATTTTACTGGTCAACTCAAAATTCATGATGATGGGTTTATGAGACTGTACTGTGATAATAAGGCAGCTTTCAACATTGCACACAATCCAGTATAACATGATAGAACTAAACATGTCAAAATTGATTGACACTTCATCAAAGAGAAGCTACGGTTTAATTTGTATGCTCTTTGTGAAATCAAAAAATCAAATGGCCGACGTTTTCACAAAGTGACTTAGTAGCAAGGTTTTTCATCCTATCGTTTACAAGTTCGATATGAGAGATCTATACACCAACTTGAGGGGGAGTGTTATGTTATGATATGTTAAGATGTATTTCTAACTTAAGGGTATTTTTGGTACTTTGTGGTTTTATTAAAATTGGGATGTAGTTGTATAACCCTAACACACTAGTCTCTTCTCTCCTCTTATTGTTCTCCTCTCTTCCCTAACACTAATTACTTCAATCTAACTCTATTAAATGGTTCTAAGTGATTTTAATGTGTTCCATTGAATGCATCAACTTGTGCTACTGTTGCCACGAACAGGCTCATAATCCAAGTTGTACCTCAAGTAAACCATGACCTTGATAAATCGTCAGCTCTCTCTCTCTCTCACACACACACACACACACAAATGTGGCGCATGAAAGAGAGATCACCATGAATTTATTTTCAATCATCTTAGCGTCTTGTATTGCATGTTTGAAGATGTGTCATTGGCATCCATGACACCTATTATAGCACAATATGATTAAGCCCCACCTCCCCCCCCCCCCCAAAAAAAAAAAAAAGTGTGATCTGGTCAGCTTGGAAAAGGGTGGAAACAAAGGAAAAAATTGGACACTTGTTTGCCAAACATTCCGAAAATCAATCAAAACATACTAAAATACCTTGAAACATATAAATTTTAATATAATCACTGATTCGTTTCGGTTTCAATGGTAAATGAAATATTTCAGACATTTTGAGCATTTCAAAGTTTAGTTCCTTGTTTCTCCACTCGTTTGTTTTGATTGTACAAGTCTTTTCCCCCCTACTACACTCACTATAAATACTCAACTCTCAGATACTAGCTTGATGTGAAAACACGTGCTAGAATATGTCCAGCCATTTTAAATCTCTAGTGTCTGGTCATTTGTGTAGACAATGAGCTGGAAATATAAAACAATTCGTTATGACCCATGAAATATTAAACCTGATTAGCAAGAAAGGCAGTAAGAGTTGGGAATTTTGATAACACGATAACAAAGAGACCACGCATGTACACCACTTCCTATGGCACGCCTAAGAACCACACCATTTAGTATGACTACTAAGGCAAAACTTCTCGACAACGTACCCTAAAGATGATTGCCAAGATTTATATAGCGGCAAGGGTGCAAGAAAACCACGGAAGACACTTTAAGACAGCATGGATGACTTGTAGGAAATTTATCAACAAATCACATGCCAAATGCTCTGCCAATAAGACATCCATTTCTGCTTGTGTCAGACACCTTTCCAAATAGACCATCCACCTTCATTCACTTTGAGTGCAGAAATGAAGAAACACACTACATTATGTAGCAGCAACGGTGCAAGACCAGTGGATAAATAAATGATCATCCAACTCTCGTATGAACGAGAATGCAAAACTGTATAAAACAACAAATACAAATAGTAGAAGCAATGCTTAGCTATAGATTGCATTAATATCATCATACCTCCAAAGTAATCACAGCATCAAACTCCCTCTGTTCTTCAACCAGTTTTTCTGTCCACATAAGGGTATTTGTATGAGCTTCAGAATAATGGATGATAAACTTGGAGTTAAACTTGCAAGAGGCTTTGTATTGAAGAAATGAAAAAATCTTATGTCCTCAAACAATTGTCAAAAATCAGAACCAAGAAATTGCTAATCTATGTTACCAATGATTCAAATGTATGATAATTGCGCTGTATCCAATCCGCAGAAAATAGTGTGCAGAAGATAAAACTATCAATCATAAATGCTATTTCCCCTCTCAAATGATTGAGAAATACACTTGTTGTAGTATAGTATACAAATAAAGGCTTATGGCAAGAGGTGTAATTTTTGTCCTTGTCTTGGTGGTTTTGATGTCCTAGCTCAGCTTAAAGGAAAATTTAAACCCCAAGGAGTAGCTCAAATGGTAAAAAGAACGAGTTGTAAACTCAAAACGTCTGAGTTCAAATCTTTGCAACCACTTGGGACCAGGCCATGAAAGATTTATCCCTCATAAATATCCTAGTCCCGGTATAGATGGTCTGCTTTTGACCAAAACGGGGAGGGGATTAGTCGAGATGCATGTAAACAGGCCTGGGCACCCCCTGACCGTTGAACCCAAAAAAAAAAAAAAAAAATTAAACCACCACGGTTGATATTTAATCCAATAGAATTTTTTCATTTTTTTATGCAGTCAAAATATTTTAAATTAGAACCTGAGAAAGGAACCCAGACAGTTATTTAACGTGAGCCAGTCCACACATCC